GTATATATATATATATATATATATATATATATATATATAAAAACAAAAAACTTTAATTTTGCATGCGACTAAACATGATTAACCCTTTGACAGCAAACTTATTTATTTATTTAAAGCAAAATATATAATATTTAATGCAAAATTCATGCTAATAATGCTCAACCCCCTAAAATTAACCAAAGCTGCCCTTGTTTGAGTTTTCTGTAGGTCACTTTGAATAAAGTGTCTATTAAATGGTTAGTTGGTTGAGTGGGAGTCTTACGGTTTGTGGGTTCTGTTCTCCGCTGAGATATGATGTAAGATCTGTTAGTAGTGCGGCCTAGAGCAGATCAGACTGGATTCAGGCTGTAAACTAACCTCCTCTACTAGTATGTCACTCTTATCTGTCTTCAGCTGCTTGAGGTTTCACAGACAAAAACGCAGGATCCAGTGACGCTCTAGTGTTACTGTAGCTCTGGTAGTCTGAGCTCAGCCAGGCTTGACTTAACTAGTCTGAGCTCAGCCGAGCTCACATGACATCTACAGGAAGCAGGGATCTTAGATTGTTCTTGAGGTGAACAAGACCCAGTGGCCAGAGCGGCATATTAGGATTTCGTGCAGTACTGTGATGTTATGCCCACTGCGCTAGGGCTGGGTAAACAAAATATTGATTTCTCGATTGTAATTGATTCTCATTTTTACGAAACGATATCGATTCTTAAATCCCAAGAATAGATTAGTCTAGCCTGTTTTCAGTTAATCACAGTAAGCTTTGTGCGTTGTTACGTTTGATATGCAACACATTCTCAGATTTCAAATGCTGTCCATTTTATTACAATATTCAAACAATAAATGCCGTTTTGGCATTGTTTAATGGGGAGTGACCGATCGCTGTAGCGCCTCAGCTTCTGCTTTAATAAGCACGAAATAAACAAGAATAAACATACGAAGGTATGTAAAAAAAAAAAAAAAAAAAAAAAAAACAAAGAAAGTATTGAAAAAAAAAAAAAAAAAAAAAGAGTACAACTTACCGAAATCTCATGGAAACGCTCAATCAGTGTTTCAAACTCGGAATGACGTCAATATAACAGCTTGTAAACAGTAGCTATGTTTCAGTCACCGTTTTAATACGCATTTTAAAGTATCGCATCAGAAATGAGTGATGGGAATGCCAAATTTCGAATAAAAATCCCTTAGTTCCCCAAAAAAGTTTTTACACTCGCTTGAGGTGGTTTTTGACTTGTGCGAGAAAGTGTTAATGTGAATAATGGAAGTTGGAAATACATTTGCTGAACAAATTCTACTATGCGCATCAAAAAAGTAATGTGACTTTGCGCGATGGGACGGCAAAACCTGAATAACCAGCGGACCGATCTTGTTGCACAGCATCTGAAATGTTGTTATGGTCATTCTGAAGTGCCCGAGCAAAGTCTGTCGTATTTCTGCATAATTGCCTTACACGACTGCATTCCCAAACAGCAGGCATCCACCTCCGAAAGAAATGTCAGCATTTATTTTGTTTCGTCTGCTCGCTCTGAGGCGCAAGTAATTTATTATCTATTATATATTAATAATTTGTCATCATTTACTCACCCTCATGTCGTTCCAAACCTGCAGACGTTTCTTTGTTGAACACAAAAAACAAAAACAAAAGAGATTTTGAAGAACCAAACAGTTGTTGGTCCCTTCCAAGGAAATACTATGGAAGTCAATGGGGTCCATCAACTGTTTGATTACCAGCATGCTTTAAAATATCTTCCTTTATGTTCAGCATAAGAAAGAAACTCATACAGGTTTGGAACAAAACAAGGGCGAGTAAATGATGACAGGATTTTCATTTTGGGGTGAACGATCCCTTTAAATGAAATGTAAACATAAAGATCTGGAACAGTAACCAGAAGGTTGTAGGTTTGAATCCCATATAATAATTAAAGGGTTAGAGCTGTAACAGATCTGACAGAGGCTGAGATCAAGTATAATGTTCTTCTTGCGATCTTCATGTAATGTTTGTTGTAGCCAAGTACTTCATTTTACAAAGCTTTTATCATCCACGTATCGTCCATTAAGCAAAACGTTGGCTTCATGTGGCTAATAATTGCTGTATTAAGATCTGAAAAGCTCAGTTCAACACTGTTGTCGTGCTCAGGACTTCTCAAATGACGACACCAAGCTGGAGTACAATGTGGACGCAGAGAATGGGATCGTCATGGAGGGATATCTGTTTAAGAGGGCCAGCAACGCCTTCAAAACCTGGAACAGGTCTGGGACAAGACAAAATCGTACTGCGCCCGCTTACGTAGACGCTGACTAAATGTTCATTGTCGCTAACTGCGTTTTCTTTGTAGGCGGTGGTTCTCAATTCAGAACAATCAGCTAGTGTACCAAAAGAAATTTAAGGTGAATATAAGAAGAACCGACAGTAATTTCTAACTCCAGCTGTGTGTTTAGCACTCATTTTGGCATTTTTATTTCAGGATAACCCTACGGTTGTGGTGGAGGACTTGAGGTTATGCACCGTCAAACACTGCGAGGACATCGAGCGCAGATTCTGCTTCGAAGTGGTTTCTCCAACAAAGTGAGTTGAAGCACACAGTTCTGATTCTCATATCTGTTATGATTAGTTTTTGCAAGGAACACAAGTTGCACGTTCACTATTTGAACACAATAATTTAAATGTGCTACTTTTCTGTTAATTTAAATGATAAAGTGTCATTTCTGTGCTGCAATTATCTATAATTATAATTATAATGGCTGAGATTGTGGAAATTGTTGGTCATATATAAAATACAAATCGTAGGTGTTACATTTGTTACAAATGCTACATCACTTGTAACTAGTGTTTTTGTGAAACTAGTTTATTTGTAACCAAAACTATTAAAATCGTTTTCAGTAATTGCGATAAAGCTGACATAAAATAGTTAAAATAAATTATAAATAATTTTTGGTAACACTTTATTTTAAGGTGTCCTTGTTACACGTTACATGTACTTACTATTATAATAACAATAAATTATGCATAATTACATACAAGTAACCCTAAGCCAAACCCTAACCATATAGTAAGTACATGTAGTTAATTAATATTTCTCAAGTACTTAAATGTATAATTACACTGTAACAAGGACATCTTAAAATAAAGTGTAACCTTGTTATTTTATAAATATTAAAAATAAATAAAAAATAAATAAATATTAGATAAAAAAAATAGAAGTGTTGCCGAAATGTAAGTACTCAAATGACTGAAACTGAAATCGGTTTTAAAAAAAGTAATGAAAACTAATGAAAACAAAAAAGCATGTAACAAAACTACTAAAATTAAAATGAAAATTGAAAGTGTAATAAGAAAAGTTAATTCAATAGTATAAAAAATAAGGTTACACTTTATTTTAAGGTGTCCTTGTTACAGTGTAATTATACATTTAAGTACTTGAGAAATATTAATTAACTACATGTATTTACTATATGGTTAGGGTTAGGGTTAGGGTTTGGCTTAGGGTTACTTGCATGTAATTATGCATAATTTATTGTTATTATTATAGTAAGTACATGTAACGTGTAACAAGGACACCTTAAAATAAAGTGTTACCAAAAATATTACTTGTAAAAAAAATTTTTAAAAACAGCATATATAAAAAAGTAAACTTTACTTTACAAAAGTACTTTAAAAAAGTAGTCCAGTATATTGATATGTAACATTTTTCCCAATCTGTCTTTTGTCTTTTTTACAGTAAAAATACCTGAACATCCATTACAAATAAAACGCATAAAAATGTTACGTTACATTTCTTGTTTCTAGATTATATTTTTTAAATATTATTTTTCTAACCAGTTTTGCAAACTGTTTCTGTTTTTAATCATAGCATGAATAAAATGTCATAGCTTAGGCCAAAAATGAATGAATGAATGGCGTTTGATATGTATTTTATGTATTTAGAAGTAAGGTTTATTTTTCTCAACACTTTTTCAAACTTACGTGTGTGTATACAGTTGAGGTCAAAAGTTTACATCCCCCTTTCAGAATCTGCAAAATATTAGTTATTTTACCAAAATAAGAGGGATCATACAAAATGCATGTTACTATTTATTTAGTACTGACCTAAATAAGATATTTCACACAAAAGATGTTTACATATAGGCCACAAGAGAAAATAATAGTTGAATTTATAAAAATGACCCCGTTCAAAAGTTTACATGATTCTTAATACTGTGTTGTTACCTGAATTTTTTGTTTAGTGATAGTTGTTCATGAGTCCCTTGTTTGTCCTGAACAGTTAAACTGGCTGCTGTTCTTCAGAAAAATCCCTCAGGTCCCACAAATTCTTTGGTTTTCCAGCATTTTTGTGTATTTGAACCCTTTCCAGCAATGACTGTATGATTTTGAGATGCATCTTTTCACACTGAGGACAACTGAGGGACTCATATGCAACTATTACAGAAGGTTCAAACATTCACCGATGCTCCAGAAGGAAGAACCATGCATTAAGAGCCGGGGGGTGAAAACTTTTGAACAGAATGGAGGTGTACATTTTTCTTATTTTGTCTAAATATATATATTTATATATATTTCGTTTAGTACTGCCCTTCAAAGGCTACAGAAGATAGTTACATGTTTCCCAGAAGACAAAATAAGTGAAATTTACCCTGATCTTCAAATTCAAAAAGTTTTCACCCCCCTGGCTCTTAATGCATGCTTTTTCCTTCTGCGAGATCGCTTTTCCTCCATCTCGCAGTTTATGTCTAAAAATGATTTCTTGATATTTTACTGGAAAACAAGACAAAATACTGATAAACATGATGATTATCTTTCAGTGCGTATGTCATACTGTACATATGATTGATGTTGTTTCTGTTAAAGGAGCTGTATGATGCAAGCAGACTCTGAAAAACTCCGACAAGCCTGGATCAAAGCCGTCCAAAACAGCATCGCCACAGCCTTCAGAGACAAAGCAGAGGACGCCGAGGTAGCGCAGCTTCTCTCTCATCCGGCTATAGTTCATGCCGCGCTACAGGCGCCTTGCTAACAGTGCGATGTGTTTGGCAGAAGATGGACGGGAAGTCGTCCACATCGACGTGCAGCCTGGACTCGGCCGGCGAGGTGAAGGAGAGGAGTCTGAAGGGCGAGAGCGCGCTGCAGAGGGTCATGGGCATCGGCGGGAACAGCATCTGCTGCGACTGCGGTCAGCCGGAGCCGTGCTGGGCCAGCATCAACCTGGGCATCACGCTCTGCATCCAGTGCTCGGGCATTCACAGGTGTGTGTGTGTGTGTATGAGACAGAAGATATCAGACAGTGTGTTGTGTGATTTATTAACAATACTGGGGTTTTTTTGTTTGTCAGGAGTCTTGGCGTTCATTTCTCGAAGGTCAGGTCTCTGACGCTGGACACGTGGGAGCCTGAGCTGCTCAAGGTGAGTCGTGACGAACATACGGATGGAAACAAACTTCAGTCCAGATGCTGCCGTCCTTCGGAGAACATCAGCAGCTCTTTCATCTCGTACGCCGTGAATTCAGAGATGCTTTTCTGACACGCTGAGGATCGGTGTAGCAAGTTTTGTTTTTCTGTTCAGATGTCTTCATTTAAGAAACAGATTTGATTATAAAAAGACATTTCTCAAGATTTTTTTTTTCCTCTTTCCAAAGTGGTCCAGCTTTCGAATAATAATAATAATAATAATAAAAAACCTTCTTCAGTTCTTATATATGAATTAATGATGCAGTTACTTTTTGTATAGCTGATGTGTGAGCTGGGAAATGGTGTCATAAATCAGATCTACGAGGCTCGGCGAGAAGAATTAGGAGCCAGGAAACCACAACCAGGAGATCCCAGGTACTGCACAGGCATTTTATTTAATTAAAATTTTTTTTTTGTTTGTTTCGTTGAATTTATTTAATTTTTTTTTTGTTCATAAATATATATTTTAATATGTAATTGGAAATTAATTGTTTTATTAAGCAAGAATGCATAAAATTGATTAATAGTGACAGTAAAGTCATTTATAATGTTTCAACATTGTTAATAATAATACATGTTTCTTGAGCAGCAGATCAGCATATTATAATGATTTCTGAAGGATCACGTGACACTAAAGACTGGAGTAATGGTGCTGAAAATTCAGCTTTTTGAAATCGTAATAATATTTCACAGTATTACTGTATTTTTTACTTTTTACTAAAAAAATAATTTAAAAAAACTCTTACTGGACACAAACTTTTGAACAGTAGTTTGAACATGTAAGATTTTTAATGTTTTTTTTTTGTTTTGTTTTTTTTTAAGAAGTCACTTCTGCTCACCAAGCCGGCATTTGTTTGCAAAATTATGAAATATTAAATTTAAATATTTTATTAAAATAACTGTTTTCTATCTGAATATATTTTAAAATGTAATTTATTTCTGTGATCAAAGCTGTATTTTCAGCGTCATGTCTCCAGTCTTCAGTGTCACATGATCCTTCAGAAATCATTCTAATATACTGATTTGCTGCTCAAGAAAAAAAAAATATTATGTTGAAAACAGCCAAGTAGAATTTTTTCAGGATTCTTTGATAAATAGAAAGTTCAGAAGAACAGCATTTATCTGAAATAGAAATATTTTGTAACATTATAAATGTCTTTATTATCACTTTTGACAAATTCAAAGCATCCTTGCTAAATAAAAGTATTAATTTCTATAATTTCTTATATAAATGTTCTATAATTTCTATAATATATATATATACTGTCTTCAAGCTCTTGAATGGTATAGTGTATAATGTTACAAAAGCTTTTTATTTCAGATAAATGCTGATCTTTGGATCTTTCTATTCATCGAAGTATCCTGAAAAAAAAATGACTCAACTGTTTTAAATATTGATACTAATGATAATAATCAGAAATGTTTCTTGAGCACTTAATCAGCATATTATACTGATTTCTGAAGGATCATGTGACACTGAAGACTGGAGTAATGATGCTGCAAATTCAGCTTTACGTTACAGGAATAAATTAGATTTAAAAATTTATTCAAATAGAAAACAGTTATATTAAATAGTAAAACTATTCCACAATTTGACTGCTTTCGCTGTATTTTGGATCAAATAAATGCAGGCTTGGTGAGCAGAAGAGACTTCTTTCAAGTAGTGATGGCAGTAGATCACGTTTTAGATTTTAGAAAAGTAATCTTTCAGAATGCAAACCAAATGACAGATCAATATCATGTGGATTTTTATTTTAGTTTAGTCTGTTGCATAAAGCTTGCATGGTTCATTTTATACAACAGCGTGTCTGTAACATGTTGCTGGTTTCAGAGATAGTACACAGTATAGTAAAGTTAAACGTGGAACAAGAAAACCCAAGATGACTTTCTACCATTACTAATGAAAAACTAAATGCATGTTGAGGTGAGAAAGCTGATCACTTGTGTCTCCTCAGGCATGAGGTGGAGGCCTACATCAAAGCCAAGTACGTGGAGCGCAGGTTTGTGCAGAGACGCTCCGAAGACGAGACCAGACAGAAGGTTTTATCACTGAGGCAACAGGATAAACGTCTCAGCGGCTGCTCTGAAGCTCGATCTGGACTGTCAGCGTCAACAGCGTCTGCTTCCTCAGGTGAGAGGACCGTCACGTCTGCTTCTGCTGCAGCTTTACCCTCTGCTGGCTCCCTTTAACCTTTGCTTTAACCTGCTGGTAACCTCCGAGTGATGTGTTGGGATCAGCTAGACGGATGTTTGAACTGGTTTGACTCTGTGTTTCTGCTCCTCTCTGTGTCTGTGTGTGCGATCCTAACGCTGCTCTGGGCTTTTGTGTTGTTGAAGCGAGCCACGAGTCTCTCTTCTGTGGAGATGAGCTCGATTCTCTCTTCTCCTACTTTAACTCCTCCGCCAGGCCCTGCTGTCGTAAGTACAGCTGTGTGTGTGTCTCCCGCAGAACTCACAGCGTCACAGCTGCATCACTTTCATTTCACGAGTGGGAATTTGAATTGAATTGAATCGAATCCAGGGTTATTATAGTAGGCTTAAACTAACCTAAACTCAACTCAACTAAACTCAACTGAAATAAAAAAAAATAAAAAATAGTAAAATAGACTAAAATTGTTACTTGTTAACTGAAATAAATAAAAGCTTGTTAACAAGGCAATATTTATCATTTTCATTTAGTTTAACGTGTTTTACTAAAACTAAATGAAAATAAAATTTACAAAAACTATATAGACATTTAAAAACAACAAAACAAAAATAATAATAAATTAATAAAAATGTCAAAAACACAACAAAATTAAATCTTTAACAAAAATAACGAAAGCAGAAAATGACAAAATAAAATCTAAATAATTTGGTCAATATCAAAATATAATAGTATTTTGACTAATTAACTATTTTTGTTTGGTTTTTGATTAATTTTTGCTTTTTTAAGGGGGAGGGGTTCTTTTGTAGTTTTTGTTTTGTTGTTTTGTGTAGTTTTTAGCTTTTTGTTTTGTTTTGCTTTTTTATTTAATTTTTTTTTTAGTTTCGGTTTTTTTGTTTCTTTTATTTTTACTTTGATTTTCTTTTTGTTTCATTTTTGCTTTTTGTTTTGTTGCTTTGTTTATTGGGGAGAGGTTTCTTTTATATGTTTTGTTTTTGTTTTGTAGTAGTTTGCTTTTTTGTTTGTTTGGTTGGTTTATTTTTTATTGTTTTTTTTGTTAATTTTTTATTTGTTTTTTTTTGTTTGTTTTTCATTTTATTTGTATGTTTTTCTGCTTTGTTTTGTCAACTTACAGCAACTAATTGTACAAAATAATTTATATTTCTTTTAAAATAATATGTGCTTTACTTTCAAATAATAAATGCTCCTGGATTTATTGTATGATTCATCAGTGCATGTAAAATTTAAATGCATCACATTACAGAAGTATTATGGATTATGAATGCTGTTTTATTGTGATCTTACAAAACACAACAAAACATTCAAAAAAGTTTATAAAAAAATGTACATATAAGCTGAAAATTCAACTAAATTAGTCATAAAAAAATTTTACTTATAAACATAATTCATATTATTAATTTTGACTAATTACACCTATTTATTGCCAATGATGTATTCGATCATGCACAATAGATTATTTTAAACAGGAAAACACAATAAATGCTTTTACTTTTAAATAATACATTTGTAATATGTCGATACATTTCTTTAACTGATTAGACAGGTTTCTTAAAAACTAAATTAAATACTGTCAGAGTGATTATTACAGCCATAAAACAGATTTTAAATTTCCCATAAGCACAAAACATCCACAAATTTGTTAGCGGTTTACTTTATAAAAGTCAAAATGTGAATCTGTCCATTATACATTATATTAAGCTGTAATCTCTTAAAGTTATTAAAAATATATCATCACAAATTTCAGATATTGATTATATTAATTACATTTTAGTTTTACTGAATTCCTCCATTTGATGTGTGTACGAACATGAAAAATTAAATGTAGTACATTTGAAAAACTGCTACTATTAGCAGTTATTTGATCTTCTTTGAAGTTCATATTCACATCAAATTTAGTTTTAAATTGAATTAAAATGAAAAAATGAAATTTGCTCAATCAACACCCTGCTGGCTTTCATCTCTCCATCACTTCAACATCCCATCATACATTTCCATTGTCTTCTCCTTTGGACGTTTTTGTGCATTTCCATTAGGGATGCACCGAACTTTGGCAACCAAAATTATTTGGCCGAAAACGGCAAAAAAAAAAAAAAAAAAGCGGGGTTTTTCGGTGTACCGAACAATGACGTGACATGATCAAGCAGAGGCGCGCACTAATGCAGCAAACATGTCGGCAGTGTGGAAGCATTTAAAACTGTCCGAGAAAGACGCAAAAATCATTACAAGCACTGACAGCGAAAGACCGTTTAGGACTGCATCGCATGTCTCCAATGAAAAGAGGAAGGGGTGGTTGTTGCTGGTTTACTGTATGATGATTGAAATTGCGAAATGGCCTTAATTAAATATACTTCAGAACGTTATGTTTTCTAATACACGCACAAATTCCATGTTAAAAAATGTTCATTGTTAAGCAAATATTTTTTAATTGTTGTTTTGTAATTGATTTTTTTTTGTAAAGCAAGACAAAAAGCACATTTTGTCTATTTAATTTATGCAATGGTAAAAAAAAATGGGGAAAAAAAATCTGTGTTCGGTATTCAGCCTTTGGCCCAGTGTTTCATTTTGTTCGGTTTCAGCTTTGGCCAAGAATTTCTGTGCATCCCTAATTTCCATTGGTTTTCCTGTGTCAAGCTGTGTTTTGTGATGGTTAGCACTAGGGGTGTAACGGTACACGTATTCGTATCACACGTTCAGTACGGGTCTTTCGGTTCAGTACGCATGTGTAGAAAAACAAAGAAATCATTCGATTTTTTTCAGGAAATTCAGACAATAAATGATATTTTGGTGCTCTTTGAATGGTGCGACAGATCGCTGTATAAAGGCTCTTTACCACTAGTTTTAACGCAAAATAAACATGAATGAACAAATCATGCCTCACATAATCGCTCAATCAGTGTTTTAACCACGAAAAGACGTCAAAAAAATTGTTAAAATGTCACGTAGGATTTAATTTACCTCAGGCAAGTCATCAGTGTCCACAGCTCGTTATTTGCTAGAAAGAAGTCTAGAGAAGAGCATTTCGCGAAATATTATATGTAGTCATTATATTTTACTTTAGGCCTACCTGTTAGTGAAGTCTTTAATGCATGTTTGAATACATCTTTTAAATAAACAAGTTGTGACAGCCACTGTGTAAATGATTATATTTCAGCAACAAATAGAAATTGTATAATTCAGAAGTTAATTTGTTACATGTTAGCATACAATTATTTTTTTATTTGAGTGTTGATTATTATTATTATAGTTAAAAATAAATAGTAATTGAATTTAAGTTTGAGCTTTGTTGTTAATTGTAACCTTATAGTAATGTAAAAGGCCTCACTATAGTTACCATAAGCAGAGGTAGATTTTTAATTATTATTGAAAGAATATTTTAATTACAATTTAATTTATTTTAAGACCGATCGATTTGTTTAGTAATCAGTTGTTTAATAAATAAAAAACAACAGTTTGTTTAGTTTTTTCCTCCTGTTGTACCGAAACTATACTGAACCGTGATGTCAAAACCGAGGTACGTGCCGAACCATCGTGTTTGTGTACCGTTACAATCCTAGTTTGCACACTGTATCACAGAAGAGTGTGTGTGTAAGTGTCTCTCTGTTTGACAGTGAAAAGCCCAGACGGTGACGTGCAGAAGCTGGCAGATGGAAGCAGAGAGACGCTGAGCTCGAGCTCTTCCTCCGGCGCGCTCAACGACTCAGGTCAGTCTGATCTCCCTCGGCGCGAGCAGAGCAGAAGCTGTCCTCTAGTCTTCAGCTGTTCCTGACTCTGATTGTGTGGTTGTTCTGGTTCAGACGGCCCAGAGCTGCACATCTCCGAGCCTCAGGAGGAGTGCTCTGGGAAAGGTCTGGTGGTTTCCTGCGAGCCGCAGCAGCCGACGCCGGGCCTGCAGCTGTTCTGGGCGTCTTTCTGCCGCAGTCTGCCGGACATGGCCGAAGCGCTCGCTCACGGAGCAGCAGTCAACTGGACCAACGCCAACGAGCAGAACAGGACGCCGCTCATGATGGCTGTACACGGGGTGAGCAGCCAGAGCCACTCACTCTCTCTCACACACACACACACACGCCAGACCTGATACACTGGAGGAAAACTCACAGACTGACTTTCTCACTAGCTTTCTTCAGCAAATATTACACAAGTATTCTTCTGTGCGTGAGTGTGTTCGGTGTAGTATTTTGCTTTTTGTTTGGTTTGTTGTTTTGTTTATTTTTTGTGTGTGTGTTTAGTTTATTTTTTGTGTTTAGTTTTCTTTTGTGTTTTTTGTTTATTTTCTTTGTGTTTTTAGTTTTTTCATGTTTTGTTTTCTTTTGTGTTTTTAGTTTGTTGCTTTGTTTTCTTTTGTGTTTTGTTTAGTTTAGGTTTTTTTGCATGTTTTTGTTTTGTTTGGTTTTGTTTCATTTATTTTTGTTTTGTTTCTCTGCTTTGTTTTGCTTTTTGTTTTATTTTTGGGTTTTGTTTTCTTTTGTATGTTTTGTTTTGTGTAGTATTTTGCTTTTTGTTTTCTTTGGTTCCAGGTTTTTTTATTTTATTTTAGTTTGGTTTTCTTGGTTAAGTTTTGCTTTTTGTTTTATTTTTTGGGTTTTGTTTTCTTTTGTATGTTTTGTTTTGTGTAGTATTTTGCTTTTTGTTTTGTTTTTATTTTATTTTGTTTGCTTTGGTTTTGTTTCATTTGTTATTTTTGTTTTGTTTCTCTGCTTTGTTTTGCTTTTTGTTTTATTTTTTGGGGTTTGAATTTTTGTATGTTTTGTTTTGTGTAGTATTTGGCTTTTTTGTTTTTATTTTATTTAGTTTGCTTTGGTTTTGGCTTTGTTTAATTTGTTATTTTTGTTTTGTTTCTCTGCTTTGTTTTGCTTTTTTGTTTTGTCAACAACAACTAATTGTACACAGTAGGTTATTTTATTCTTAAAATGTGTGCTTCACTTTCAAATAATTAATGCTCCTGGTTTTATCGTATGATTCATCAGTGCATGCAAAAATGTAAATATGAAATGCATCACATTACAAAAGTATTATTATCTTGAAAGTGTCTGATGCGTTTATCACCTGTGTGTGTCTGTATCAGGGGTCTCTGGTCGCCTGTGAATTCCTGCTCCAGAATTCAGCCAGCGTCAATCAGCAGGACAATCTGGGCAGAGGACCTTTACATCACGCCACTATCCTGGGCCACACTGGGTCAGTTCTGCTCAGCACGCAGTTCTTCTTGTATAAATGTCTGCTGCGGTTTGTTTCTGACCCTTTGTTTGAATGTGCTGCTCATTTCTTAGTTGTGATTCCTGGTTTACTGTCATGAATCTATATATTTTTTTCTGCTGCAGGCAAGTGTGTTTATTTCTAAAACGGGGAGCCAATCAGAACGCAGCAGATGTCGAGAATCAAACGCCGCTTTCAATCGCCGTCGAGGCAGCAAACGCTGATATTGTCACGCTGTGAGTTGCCATTGCTGTTTGCTGTGTAGAGACATTTGTGTCAGACATAAAACATGAAGTGTGTAATGTGGTCTTGGTTTCCGTCTACAGGCTTCGGCTGGCCAAGATGAACGAGGAGATGCGTGAATCAGAAGGTCTGTACAGTCAGTCAGGTCAATATAACTCTAACAGCCCTACTGAAATGCAGTATCGGAAGTGTATGGAAGAGTTCATAAACTTACAGCTCAGAGACTCCTAACATACGGCGAAATCGCCACAACCTGAAGCAAACACACAAAACCAGTGAATGTACACGGATATCACATGAAGCTGAGCTTCATTGGGCCCCAGGATGGGTTCATCTAGTCTAGTATTTTAATGTGAAGTTAACAATAATAGGACGTTGCTGCTGGAACATGTGCAATAACTAGTCGACGTGAAAACATGCACCTTATTTGCATTGTGTATGTTTGTCTTAAAACTGTCAGTCTGTAAGAGTAGTGTGATGATAAACTCGGCCCAGCCAATGTATTCATGATCATTCCTGATATTAATCACTTCATTATACTTGAGGAAGTGTAGCAGTCTAAATCAAATCAGTATGTTTAGAAATACTACATTTATGTCTGTACAATTCAGTATTAGTTCTGGATGAGGCAACACTGTATTTGACCATAGATAATATATCAGTAATTGTTATGAATGCATGTTTTGGTAACGATTTATATGAATTGTCTAAAGAATTCATATATATATATATATGAATTCTCTAAAGAATTTATTTATATAATTGTTAAAAATTATACATTTTAATTTATTAATTAATATGTAAATTATATTGAATTATTTTTTTTTATTATATTAAAATTTTATATCGTTTTTTTGTGGAATAGCTGAAATATTTTAAGTAATTACAGTTTATGTATGTATATTACAAGGGAAATGTGACAGTCGGAATGTTACTATAAATATTATATTTTTTATTTAATTTAGCGTCTACGGAGCCCCGCACATGACATGCAAGAACAAAAATTATAAATCGTTTGCACGATTTAGCAAATCGAGGGAACGAAATAAAAAAAAAAAAATTATCTATATTGAAAATCTATTTTAGCACTTTTTTTTTTTTTTACTTAAAAAAAATATATATATTTTATGTAGCAGCCTTTTGTTTTATGCAGATCAATTGAAATTTTACAGAATTTACATTACAGAAATAAAATGAGAAAATATTCACATTTAGCATTAATTAAATCGAGGGAACGAAATAGTAAATCGTGCGCACAATTCATCAATCGAGGGAACGAAATAGTAAATCGTGCGCACAATTCATAAATCGAGGGAACGAAATGGTAAATCGTGCACACAATTCATAAATCGAGGGAACGAAATAGTAAATCGTGCTCACAATTCATAAATCGAGGGAACGAAATGGTAAATCGTGCGCACAATTCATAAATCGAGGGAACGAAATTGTAAATCGTGCGCACAATTCATAAATCGAGGGAACTAAATAGTAAATCATGCGCACAATTTATAAATCGAGGGAACGAAATAGTAAATCGTGCGCACAATTTAGCCTACTATTTTTTTTATTTTTTTTTCTGCATGCCGTGTGCGGGGCTCCGTAAGCGTCAATGAACGTGCCAAATGAGTTCATCTAATCACTAGCTAGAGTTGTGGGACTGGCATCGGTCACAGAGGGGCGCAGTAGAGCTGGACTTTACTGCTGGTCGCACAGACACATATGGAGCTTCGTTCAAAAGAGTTTAATTTTCTCCCTCCATTTGGCGACAGGTGTTTCCCTCTTAGAATTTCACTCATTTTAAATGAGCTCTTTTAAACAACCTTATAATTCAACACTTAAGCATCATATGGTTACTGCAATCTCTTTACTGAGCACAGTCTAAAAGCCGAGTCTCAGGTTTATTATGCAAATAAAAAAAAAACATGAAGGTGTTTACAAGGTTGTAAGTGATGGAATTATAGTTTTGCAAATTATGAAATACTGTTGTATATACCATGTTATATATTTGTGAGCAGCTCTCTTCATTTATCTGCTTTGTTTCTCTGTCACTGTTGGCACTGATTATTTTATGTGGTAATTTTGCCACAACTGCCAAACGTCTGTATCTCTCACGTAACTCGTATTGAACCCAGAACGTCTCTTTAAACGGAAATGTTCGCTATTGACAATATTTCATCAAAATGTGCTACTACATGCTAAATATCAATGTAAATAGTCAATAAACGTACTTCATATGCATCGTTTGGTGTCATGTGCTTTTCACCTCTGCATTTCCTCCTTTCCTCCTGCGATCTCCTGCTGAGTTTCTGCTCTGAAGTAGCACAGGTATGAGTTCATCTCTCTGTGTCTGTGCGAGTTTTGATTAGTCGTGTGTGTGTTTAGTGCTTGATGCAGGTAAATGGCACTCTGCTTCCTCCATAATCAAGCGGTTTTCTCTTTGCAGGAGATGAGACGTACCAGGACATTTTCCAAGACTTCTCGCAGATGGCATCGAACGACCCTGACAAACTCAACCGCTACTGAGCAGATTTTGGACGGTATATCACACCACAACAACCTCCTTATAACTGCAGTTTGGGATTTTTTTTTTTCCAAAATCGGATTAAAATGAAATGTTTTCATTGTTAGGTTTTGTCTTAATTTTTAATGAAATCAGTGTTGTTGCCCACAAAATAATCTGGGTGACACCAGTTGAATTGTTTCTTTTTTATTGTAAATGTAGCTAAAACTATTTCATATAGGATTTAATTGATGAATCCATTGGCTGTATCTATATAGATTTTCAGATGCATATGTGTAATGTAATATTTAAGCCATAGGACTTCATTTATGAAATGTGCCGAATGCATTTGTGTTCGTAAATGTGATTGGTTTTACAAACAAATTCATTCTGCTCGTGTGTTACAAATGAGGGGTTTTAGCTAAATAGTACATTTTAGTAAATTGCATTGGGGTGTGATTGTAGAGCAGAGATGAAACCATTTAAGTTTCCATAATATCAATTTTAAAAACTATACTTTCATTACGTCATTTACTTGTGCCTTTTTGAAAGCGAAAATCTTGTGAAAACTCGTTTTAGCATGAACGCCCCACTTTCTTTATATGTCCCAATAGTGTACAAGTGAAGCCACAGTGTAAGGGTGTCAATTGTGTATATTCTGTACATATGTCATCTTGGGCTGGGAAGTTTTTGTGGTACTTCAAATGTTGTAATAAGCTTGTTTGGATTTTTGTGCTTTTTTTTTTTGCCCCTTTATTCATTCTGTAATCATCTCTGTATGATCCATGCAGTTTTTAAGATTATTTTATCCACTGCGAATGTCTGACTGAAAATATCTCAAAATATATTAAATTGTTTTCTCTACATTTTTTATAATGCCGCCTTATTCATTACCTAAGCAGGTTAACATATTTAGCATTGAGTAAATGAATAGAGTGCAAGTCTAAAAGGGACAAGTTTTTTTTTTTTTTAAGAATAGAATTAGAATAGAGCATGCTAGAGTTAGAGGCTCAAATAAAGATGGAACAGATGTGTTTTTAGCCGATTCGTGAAGATGGCTAAGGACTCGGATTGAGTTGGGCAGGTCATTCCACCAGGAGGGAACATTTAATTTAAAAGTCTGTGAAAATGAGATATATATATATTACAAGCGAAATTTGATAGTCTGAATGTTATTTTATAGATTTTACCATTACAGAACAAAATAAAATTACTGTAATATTTATGTAATTAGAATTTGTATATTACAAGAAAAAAAAAATTGAGTCTGAATTTTATGAATATATTTTGATTAATTTATTATTCACTTATTTTTGGCATTTTCACTTTTATTATGATAAGACAAATCAGAGTTGACAGGAAGCGAAGTGGGAGAGAGAGGGCAGGATTGGGAAAGGTCCTCGAGTCACGGTTCGAACTCGGGACCCCCGTAGTGCTACGGCACTATATGTCGGTGCGCTGCCCTAAAGGCTATCGGTGCCAACTACTTACTTCATGTTCTTTACATAAACCGCTTAAGAATTTTGTTACCAAAATTCTAGCTTAAACCTGTAGTCTAACCCAGTGTTTCCCAACCGGGGTGCCGTGTAAAAAAATCATTTTTTTATATTTTTAAATTGCTAAAATGTTCAAAAAAGCATCTATTATATAATATCAATTTCTGATGTCGCCAATAATTAGAGATGCACCGAAATTTCGGCTGCCGAAAATTAGTTCACCGCTCAGGTTTCACTGTCACGTGGTGTGACGCTCTGCGTATTATCCGCTCTATACGTGTGCGCTCCGCTCAGTCGCTCCACTCGTATACCGTTCAAGCTCATCGGAACAGCAGAGTCCACTCAGAAATTGAGCCGACAGGAAACATCAATGTAGTACAGTATTGTTTCTGTCTGCAATAGCCCTACTGTGTTGTAACATGGTGTGGTCTATGGGCAACTCTGGTAACGCTGCCTTCTCATTCATTGATCTGCTAACCGCTATGTTATGCTCACGTGTCCTCTGATAATAATAGCTTTCTAGGACTAAACATTTGAATAATTGGTATAAAAAAAAAACAAACTAAAAAGCAATTTATTTAATTCGAAGGCCTGTCGTTATTTTTTATTTGTGCCATCATTATTAATTTCTTTATTTGTTCTTATTTTATTACTGACTGCTTACTTGTCATTTTTTATTCAATTCAAAGTTTGAAATCAAGCTCTCTCGTGCTACTGCACCAAAATTACCCCACTGTAAAATATAAAAAACACTGAGTGAGCAAACATTTGTGAGATAGTTATAATGGTAATTAAATAATGTTTACATATGTATAAAAGCCTACATTAAAATATGTCATATAAATTGGTCTCTTCATTAGAAATTAGCCTACTGATTGCCACCATTGATGGACAAAATGTTTTAATAATATTAAAAATATCTGTATGACATTATATTCTGCAGTTCTTCCCTGTTGTACCGAATATCTATACTTTTCAAATGATCATACTGAAGATAGAAATTTTAATATTGTGACAATTAATTTTGTAGGGTGCCACAAGTTTGTTAAAATTTCCAAAGGGTGCCGCGACTGAAAAAAGGTTGGGAAACACTGATCTAACCGGTCTCGTTTCTACCTTACATTATCAGATTGTATGAAGAAGTTTCCCATGCAGGGGGGTTGCCATGTTTGTAATAACATCAGCCTCTGCCGCCGAGCTGAGCCTATGTAAACATTGGCACTGTCTCTCTAAAATGCGGCAGGCGTTCAGTCGCTCATGACGGGATGACCTCATGCCCCTGCCAGCTGTGCACTGACTCACCTTTTCATATCATGCGCGTTTATAAACTGAGAACATTACCCTTCACACTGCTTCAGGAGATTTATTTATAAACCTTGTAAAATAAGAAGGCTCAAGCCATGCATTATGGTTATTACTAAGCTTAAAGCCAAAGTGAACGGTGACTCTTAGAATCAGTGCTTCTGGGAAGTCATTCAAGTAATGTAGAAAAAAAAAAAAAAAGGTGTTAAGCACTAAAATTGTTGCAAGTGAAAGTTTGTCAATCAATTATAAGCCAATGAAATTTGTCAATATGATATCTGTCAAATGAGTGAAAAATTATGGTCAGATCGTTCGATTTTCAATTCAATTGAAACCTAATACCTTCAAGTCAAACCAGCATTTTCTCTCAAAAACTCCTGTCATCACATGCACACAATGACTCTTGGGATGGTTTGGGCTGTGAAGGAGCCATCTGTTATATCCTTAATGGCCCATGAAACACAAGATGCGTTTCGAGGCCACGTTTGAAGCAGCCTTTGTGATGCATTTGGTCTTCGAATGCCGCCTTTGAATTGTGAAACGGCTATAGATTATGTAGACCAGTGACTCCCAATCCTGGTCCTGGAGAACCCCCGACACTGCACATTTTAGATGTCTACCTAATTCAGCTCATTAGTACAGACCCGAATACCTTAAATGTGTGGGTCATGTTAGAGAGACCAGACTGAAATCGCTGAACTGGTGCACTCAAGAAATTACGGCATTGAGCGCTTCGTAAAATCGAACGTTAATTGTGGCCCGGGGAAGGGTGAGCGTATAAAACAAATCAAGCAATGTGGAATGGTTTTAAAAGTGAATGACTTGACAGTAGGGTATATGAAATAATGCTATGTCTTCCAGGCATCTATCCTTCCTCTGCGGTCGGCTTCCCGCAGAGAGACAAAGAGCCACTGCTTGAGTCCTTTTCCCTCCATAAAAAAATACATTTGCACAAAAACAAAAGCGGCAAGCTCCATTAATGTTGCTATCCAACCCTCATCCTGACAAGCTGTCCTCAAGAGTTCCACGATAGTTAACTGTTATCTTAAACCTTTCCAGACTTGTGAAAAAGCAAAAGCTACGGCATAAGATTGGGACTGCTAATGCTTCAATTCTGAAACACAAGAAGCCAAACTCTGTCATAGCCTACTTAACATTAACATCAAGTGGAAAGTGTAGGAGCCAACCACAACCATTTTCACGGCCCACATTTGTTCCATCTCTCTGCTTAATGATTTCTTTGCCTAATGAACCGTAGTCTCATCTCTTCTTTCCAGAAGTTGACCGGTCAGGATTGACTCGTGAGTCCCCTTACAAAAAATCACTAGCATGCAGGCGTGGAGAATCTAAACGGTCTTTGTGGGATTGTTCCTTTGACTGTAATGATGAATGAAAGAGAGCTGTCAGCAACATACTTTCACACCGCAATCGTCCACCTAATGGCTGGAAAATTGTGGATGTTTGTTGCCTTATATCATCCATTTAGCCAACTCACTCGCATGGCTTTTCTATTACTCTACTCTCACTTCCCAGAATAGGGAGGCCCCTGTAGTTTCTCTCTCCAGTGGAGACACTTTTAAGAGCAGAGTCCCAAGGGTCTCGTCAACTACACCTCAGTGCTTCGCCAGCGAATGGCTGGAAAATCTACTGAATCCATGACAGTGAATATGGCTTCCAGCTGTGCTCAAAGAGAGAACTCCGACAGGTTAGCCTAGACCCTGACCAACACAAGAACCCTCTGTTGTGGAGGTTAATTCAATCAACATACGGCCCGAGAGTCTGTTGGTGTCCAAAATTTCTTGGCACGGTCTGCTCTGGAAGAGTATTTTATTCGAGAAACACTGGACATAGAGACCCAATGAAACACACGGAGATTATTTCCCTCAAATTCAGAGCAATGTTAAAGATTAGGCCTGGTGGTCGCCCAGCAAATACCTACTCCCTAGTTCCCGATGACGTGATATTGTAAACAAATTTGGGAATCTGCAATGGCCTCCACTAAAAAAACAATAAAAAATGGCTTAATTACCTGACACAATTATCAGGCTGACATATGTAGCAGGTAGTCATAGAATACACTGTGGCACTAAGATATCAAAACATTTTATGGTGCATTCTCCAAGCTTCATGTGCACCGATTTTCAATAATAGGCTACAAATGGCAAACTCCCCAACTTAATACTGAACTAGGGAGCAGACTGAGGAGCACCCAGAGACTGTCCGCTAACAGAAGCTTATCAGCTAGGTTCATCTCTTATATAAACTCAATTCCTTTGGCGTAGTTCATGGGATGTTGGCACTGTACATGCAATACATGCAATCATGGTAACAAACGGTTTACTGTCAAACAAGTCCTTATCAGGATGGTTGGAAATAAATGACTTCAATCTGCAATGGCCTCCACTAAAAAAACAATAAAAAATGGCTTAATTACCTGACACAATTATCAGGCTGACATATGTAGCAGGTAGTCATAGAATACACTGTGGCACTAAGATATCAAAACATTTTATGGTGCATTCTCCAAGCTTCATGTGCACCGATTTTCAATAATAGGCTACAAATGGCAAACTCCCCAACTTAATACTGAACTAGGGAGCAGACTGAGGAGCACCCAGAGACTGTCCGCTAACAGAAGCTTATCAGCTAGGTTCATCTCTTATATAAACTCAATTCCTTTGGCATAGTTCATGGGATGTTGGCACTGTACATGCAATACATGCAATCATGGTAACAAACGGTTTACTGTCAAACAAGGCCTTATCAGGATGGTTTGAAATAAATGACTTCAATTGTGGTTGAAATGAAAGAGCTGCGAGTGCTCTCAGAGTCAAGGTATAAGGAATTAATAGGAATAAATGCATCAACAGAATTGACAAAAAACGACTTTCTAAAGAAGTTTCAAACTTGGCATATCTCCCATTGTCTGCTAAACTCACATTATTGTTGTAAAAGCCGGGCCTTTCAAACGAACAGATCGCAGTTCCATTTGATGCCGCTAGAAATCCTGCAGGTCATTGTAACCTGGTTCCACATTGGCACTTTTTCACAAGAGCCATTGGTTCGACCCTTGTGTTCCATTACAGCATTGTATTTATGATGTTCTGCAATTCTTGCCAAGA